AAAAATAAAATTAGAAATTATTTTTATATAAATTAATTATAAAAAATACAATAAATATATTTTTAATCTAAATAAAAATTAGACAAATAAATAACAATAACTATATTACTAAATAACATCCTGAAAAATAATTAAATTCTAATATTAAAATATTATTCTTATATATATACCCCTTAATCCAAAGCCTTGCACGAAACTCTTGGTATTCTCAATCACGGACACGCAAAGACCGTCATTTGCGGATGCCGCGTGCGTGCATCCACCGTGGCTACCCACTGGCACCAATCGCGTCACTTTCCCCTGCACTTGAACTAATTTATAAATCCCCATTTTTGGCTTCCCACATTCCGCATCACATCACATCAACCAAAATAAACACTTCAATTCGACTCTTCCATTTCCCCATTCAGGCAAATTCCCACGTTATACGTTCCGGGATGGACTTCTTCCACAACGCCAAGGCGGTGCGTCTCCGCAGCCAACATGACAAATACCTTCTCGCGGAGGACGACGAGGAATCCGTTACCCAAGACCGGAACGGATCATCTCGGACCGCCCGATGGTCTGTCGAGTTCGTGCCGGGATACGAGTCTTTACTCCGCCTCAAGAGTTGCTACGGTAAGTACCTCACCGCCTCCAACCAGCATTTCCTGCTTGGGATGACTGGCCAAAAAGTGCTTCAGTCCCTGCCTCAGCGACTGGACTCGTCGGTCCAGTGGGAGCCGATCAGAGAAGGTTTCAAAGTCAAGCTCAAGACCCGGTACGGTAAGTTTCTGAGGGCGAACGGCGGGTTGCCGCCGTGGAGGAATTCAGTAACACACGATATCCCTTATCGGACTGCCACACAGGAGTGGGTCTTGTGGGATGTGGACGTAATAGAGACTCAACCGCAGCCTACGCCGAACTCCCATCAGCCATCAGCAGCTCCTTCAATTGATATTCATTCAGATTCATTGGATTTCGATTCGAGTTCCTCACCTCTTTCAGCCATGTCTGGACACTATTCAAGACAAGGGGTTTGCAATCTGAAACTCATCTTTAAACTAGTTCTTCGATTTGTTTTATGTTTCTGTTGTCTGAAATGGGATGTTCTTTGACTTGCAGTCAAGTGAGTCTTACACATGTTCGCCTTCAAAATCAGAGGGCAGGACAATATACTATCACATTGCAGATGAGAGTGGAGATGTGGATGATGATTCAACCGAAGGTTTTAAATTGAGTTTTAAGGGCAATAGAGTTGATGAATTGACTCAGAAATTAAGGAAAGACACAGGTCTTGAGGAGATTGTGGTGTGCTCTCGGAGTCCACTGAATGGAAAACTTTATCCTCTTCGGTTGCAACTTCCTCCCAACAATGCAGATATGCATGTTGTTGTAGTTCCATTGTCATCCATAGGTGAGACCTCCAGTTAGATGGTTTTGGAAAACTTAATGATTTCTTCTGAATTCTTATGCATTGATAAATGGTTTCTTCTGAATTTCCAATCTTTATTTAAGTTTGAGAATTTAGTTTTTGAACATGAGTTTACTGCATTGATTTTCTTTTTCTTTTTTTTTTTCTTTTTGGTGATTTATCTTGTGCATTCTTTTCTTTCAATGTTTTAGTGGCAAAAGATTTTGCAAAACAAGGGAATACATTGTGAGCTGCATCAACAGCATGCTACCTTTTGTTCACAACATGAATTCAAACAATATGCTATTTACATACCAAGTGAGGCCCCTTCAAAAAGCTAGCTTAATGCAGTCCTGGTGTGTTCATACAGCAAGAAGTAGAGAACAGTCTAATGGAGAGAAGCAATAAACATAGAATGTATATAACTACTGCAGAGCATTGTCATGGCATTGCAGCCAACAAAGTAATTCACCTGAACGGTTTTCTTCATCTTATAATTACTTCATTGATTGGTTTTTTGGGGTAAAGAATTCTGAGAACCATTTTTTAGAAGATAATCCCTTCTCTCTCCCTAGTCTCTCTGCAACTAGTTTTGTTGCAGATTTTCATTGTATGTTTCATGAATGAAATCATTCACTATCTGATACAGTTCAGGATGATGCATTGAAAGAGATATGATTGATGGTTAACATGATCTATAATTTTTTGAACAGTGCTTGAATTTACTTAGATCTGTTTGTTATAGTGACAACAGAAGAGATGCCAAATTCAGTATGGTTATGAGGATATGTTATAATGCCTTTATCGGTTATGAATTTCCTTGCCACCTGCTGGCTGCTGCATAGACTTTTGATAAAAGGGCAGAGGCTCTACTGATTCAAGGATCTGCCTGGCCACCTCTTCACTCTACTGGATGCTTGCTTTCTTCTTTCTGCAAGCATCAAGAAGAGAAGAGCATACCTCCAGATAACAGCATCAGGTCTCATTGGCATCTCTGATAAGATCATGAGCTTCATCAATAAAATAAGCCTTGCTCAAGCAAGAAGATCAACCAGGCACCCCTAGGGCTCTAGTACAGGTTTTATCTTGCACTCAATAACCATGCCTCTATGCTTGTATGCGCTCAAAACACCAACAAGCGCGATAGAATTGGGCAGGAAATTCTCCGTTCTAACCGGTCAACAAGCAACATGTTCTAACTCTGCCTCAGCCTTCCTGTGCATTGCAAATCCTAGAATCATATAATATGACTGCCTCTCAATTCCCAAAGATCTGCTGAGTTAGTTCCAAAAACCCACATTTGCTATATATATACATATCCACCAACAAATTATTCAACAAAACATCAGTAGGTGCACTGAGATTACACTTCCTCAAAAATAGATGAGTATGAGGCCACATCTCCAAATACTAAGTACCAAGATCAGCAAAGGCACCAGTAAATATAGTTGGCAAAGCATACCCATCAGGATCAAAAGAACTTTGCATCTTGTTTAACAGTTTCAATTCCTGTTAAAACTCAATAAACTGAACAAGAGCCTCAATCAAAACATTCCATGAAACCAAGCTTCTCCCTGCATTTGATACTTGAGCGTGTATCCGTTTGAGCTGGGTCATTTCCGTACATTCATTTCACATGGCGAAGTTCATCAGCAACAAAGATTACTGGGCTATTTACCCATTGAGAAGAAGATAAATGGGTTTCTTTGTCACAGTGTCATGAGGGTCCAAAGCTAATGTGAATTGGATTGGGCTATATATTCCCAGTGGAGTTCCGATTACCTAGGTAGGCTCAAGGTTCATGACATGATCAAGGAAACAATGCGAAGAACATATATTTTTTTTATTGAAAAATGGGTTAGCTTCTTTGTATTGCAAACGTCTAAACCATTCATCTTGACATTAGACATGCTAACAAGGTGCTAGCATAGCTATGCTGCAGTTCATTCATAAACAACAATTAGCAATGATGGAACCACATAGCTCAAAAATTTAGAAAATAAAGAGGTCCGAGCCAGAGTTTTAGGTACAATAAATGTAAAAGATTACCCTGATAATTTATTTCGTTTGAGAGGAGGTGAGAGGAAAAAATTTTCTTATTTGAATAACAAAAAATTGGAGGAGAGAAGAGAAATTTTTCTTTATTTTACTTTGATTTTCTCTGCATTTTAGTCCCAAATTAGGAGAATTATTCTTACATTTTCCTTCATTCTCTTACATTTCTCTCAAACCAAATAAGGAGTAAAATCCTTTTGTAGGAAGAAAAAGACTATCATACCAAGGTTGGAACCAAAAAAAAAAAAGGGTTTTGCCCTAATATATTCCTATTTCTGCCACTACTAATGAGCTTCTTTATCAGCACGATCAAAAGCCTTTATGTATTGGATTGGAGCTTTTATGATTACTTTGGTGGGACTTTGATTGCTTTTGCTAAAGCATTTCATGAAGCCCCAAAGAAAAAGTTAAGTGGTTTTGGCATGGTACAGCCAATTTGGAAAGTTGAGACTAACTAATTATAGTAATTTGAAGGCCAAAAAAAAAAAGACTAATTATAATAATCCTTAGATGTACCATTGTATTAGGTGTGCAGCTGCCATACTTAGCATACACTTAACTATTCCTCATTATCTTTTTTCTTGCAAGTAATCTAATTTTTTTTCTCCTAGTTTCAAGGCCCTACCACATGCACTTGCCCTCCAAATCTAAATAATCAACTCTCTCTAACGACTTTTGCATTCTCATTACTAAATAATTGTGTGGTACACCAACGCCCAAGTTGCTTAGTCTTAGATCTCAAACATTGCTAGGACCATCCATTATGCATATGTTTCAACTTTTAAATGACAAAATTATGTGTTGGTTGCATCTTATGCAAATATAAGATAGACATCTTTAAGATGTTGATGAGCTTTAACTTTCACATTCGAAATTCTCATCTAAGTTTCTAATAAAATTTTATTAAGTATTATCAATAAATATTACGTAGTATAAAAAACTTTTGTGTGAATTTGAATATAAAATTATGAGATCAAAACACAACCTAGCACTCTGATGCAAGGTGGTGACAAAGCTTAAGAACTAAGTTGCTTATGTGAACAAAGATTAATGGATGAAATTACAAAGTAGGTGTCATTTTATGCTTTCTTAATACTTAAACCAAGAAAGGGTTAAAGGAAACTTGAGAGTAGATGCCATATGGAAAGGACAGGGAAAATAACAACAAAAATACCTTAGAGGATGTCATTTTCTTTGGAAAAATAAAAATAAAATGGAGATGATTGCATCATACATCCCGGTAAAGCCAACTAGGCCCAGATTTTGCATCTAAAAACTCTACACACTTTTCCTCAAAAAAAAAAAAAAAAAAAAAAACCTCTACACACTTCTCTCTATTGACTCATTTCCTGCTGGACTGCACTTTCTCATTTCCTTTTTTAAAACTCTGGATATTTTCTATCTGTTCTTATCTTCACATGTCCTATCACTTTATAATACCACAATTACACAAACAAAGGTAAAAGCATAGAATGTTTTGAAGAATTACATGCATTTTTGAGTTATTTCTTTTCCTTTTTCAACCTTTTTTTTAATTGTTTTCTTATTTTTTTCAGAACAAAAAGTATTAGCTTACAATGTTTTAACGTAAGTAGAATTTTTACACACAATAAGATATATTATTTTGTGATTAATTTTATTATTGAGAGTTATATGTGATATTAAAGGTATTTACAATTTTAATATCATGTTATATTATATGACGTATATTATATCTGTAATATTATTTTTTTAATACATAAAAAATATTCTTTTTTATTTGATTTAGTTCCTACTTTATTCATTTATAGTTATTAAAAATTTTATTTATTATAATAATTACTTTTTTTCTTTTTTATCTTTATTTATAATTAAATAAAAAAATTTTAAAGCATTTCTGCCTATCTCTTTTAAAAATGAGGTAAGCTAATGTAAAATTGAAATAGTAATTTAAAAAGTAGTACAAGTAAATAAGATAAAGGGAGTACCATGGCATACAAGACTATGTATCTTTTTCGTTTTCCCTTCTTTTTTTTTTTGGGGGGGGAGTACTACGTATCTATTTTGTATGGTAAAAGTAGTTTACTTACATTGAAAATTTTGTAAAGAATTATATTTTCATTAATTTTTTTTTCAAATTTCAAAATTCTCATATATTGTGTGAGTAATTTTATTTAGATAATAAATTGATAGTACAACTTGAATGAGAGAATTTGGTAAAGTTCATTAAAAAGGGGAAAATGGTCCTAGGAATTAAATGATACACGTGAAAAAAAAAGAAAAAAATCTATCAACACATAAATTTTATATAATTTTGTCTATGATATTTATTGAAAATTTTTATTTTTTATTTTTTATTTTTAATAATTAAAATTTATTTATTTTTTATTTTATTTATTAAAAATAATTATTTTTATTTAAAAATTTATGATAAATTTTAGTTTTTAAAATAAAATAATAATTAATTAAAATTTTATATAAGTAATATATTTAAAATTTATGTATAAATGTGTTATTAGTGCAAAAAGAAATAACTAAAAACAAAGACGTGGTTTTGTACATTCCTCAGAGCAATTCCTATTGGACTTTGACGAAGAATTCAATTCCTTAGCTGTCAACCAGAAATCGCCTTCCAAAAAAATATCGACCAAACGCCTACTTAAGCGCCATCGCTGCATCCTCTCGTGCGTTTTGCGTCACTCTCTGCGTACCGGAAACGGCCGACTCGCAGTGCTACGCGCCTCCGTCCCCAACAATAACCCTTTTCAAGAACATTCCTTTCTGCTTAAATTCCAAACCCCACAAACCCACTTGCATTCCCAGGTACTTATATTTGAATAACAGTGTGAGACTCAGAAACGACGGCTGCGATTTGGAGCTGTAATGGGTGTGGATTACTACAACATACTGAAGGTGGGCCGCGGCGCCACTGAGGAGGAGCTGAAGAGGTCGTTTAAGAAGCTGGCGATGACGTGGCACCCGGATAAGAACCCCATTAATAAGAAAGAAGCTGAGGCCAAGTTCAAGCAGATTTCGGAAGCGTATGACGTGCTCAGTGACCCGCAGAAGCGTCAGATCTATGATTCATACGGGGAAGAGGGGCTCAAGTCGGCGGAATTATCGGGTTCCAGTGGAGGTGCCGGGTCTTACAGCTTCAATTCCAGAAATGCGGAGGATATATTTGCGGAGTTTCTCGGCAAATCCGATGGGAGGTCTTATGGGGATGGGTTTGGGAGTCAGGGCAGCAAGAAAGCACAGCCGGTGGAGACAAAGTTGGCATGCAGTTTGGAGGAGCTTTACAAAGGTAGCCGCCGGAAAATGAGGATTTCCCGGATTGTTCCTGATGAATTCGGGTTAGTAAACCACAATTCTATTTACATTTAGCAATCTGAGTGCTTTTGATTTTTTATTCTTTCAATTTAGCATTTGGTACAAAGGGAATGTAAATTGAAAATTCTGGGTGGCTTGAATTTAAATTTAGTTTCTTAGTCTACAAGTTGCACTGTTGAGCATAATTCAAGTGCGGAGAGGGGTATAGAAATCACCAAATTCAGAATTTGATGTCTGAAACCTGACTGATTGATCTGTAGTGCATACATGATGCAGCTAAAGAGCAATGGAATTGATGAAAGTTGGCCACTTTCTTATTTGCCTGCTTTACTCCATTTCCTGTGGCATAATTTTAGAAATCACATGTTTCTTAACTAAAAACCATTTAAGTCAAGGAACCCAGCTGTTCATTGTCGTCAGGGATGAAGAAGGATGGCTCAAAATTTGGTACTTATTGGTTCAGTTCTTAGTTGTGTACTGAGTAGTAATGCTCTATACATT